GCCCAAGAATTATTACACTTATTTACATTGCAAAATTACTGTTCCATTGTGAATTATCATTCAGTAATATAGTGATTGTCTTGTGGGAGGGTGATTCAAATGCAATTGAAAGTTCTTTTACAACTGACTTCCTGTATCTCTTACACAGACAAAATGTATTTTGCAACCACGATTAGTAATGTGTCACATATGCTCAGTCTTTAAGTAATTGCGACATCCTGACATGCATAATCCTTTTACTGAACGCTTTCCAAATCCAGTTTGTACCATTATTTTTAGAGTATAATTTCTCCTCCAACAATCACTGAACTGATCCGATAAGTGAACATGTATTTCCGTACAATGGAGACGGACCATTGTACAGTATCTTTATCCTGAGTTGCTGATTGCTTGTGACCCAGGTGAAACAAACCAGAAATATATGTACTTTCTATACCTGACACCAGCAGATGTCTCATAAGGAAGAGCTATCATAGCACATATTAGTAGATAGAATGAATATTGCAAAAAAAAAGTAAAGGCTGATTGAATATTGCAGCTCATATTAAAGTTTTCTAAACTCTTTACTCTTTTTTCATCTTTTACCATGGTATGAAATGGATAATTCAATTGGGATAAACTGTTTAGCAGCCAGTTCTTGAAGGTGCAAACCTCAAATCCAAACACATCCTGTCAGTAGGTTTCCTTGACTCTCATCTGTGTGATAAGCCATCAGATTTATCATGCTTGGTCATAGATCACAAGATTTACTCAACTTTGAGCCACTAAAATCAATTGCAACAAAGGTTCAAGCAGCTACCAAGAGGAGTTAGTTATATCATGTACTGCCTCTCCCTGAGGGCAGTTGTTAAAGACCATGACTTGCCAAAAGGCACAGATACAATCAATAGCAGTTACACTGTTGACGGCCACTCCATTGATTCACTGTTAGAAATAGTTCCATTGCGTGTCACTTAAACCAAGTGGGTTTTAATGGAAATGTAATCTAATGTTTCAGGGGTTTTAGCCTCTAGATTTCTTCATCTGATTGAATACGATTTGGTTATTTGTAAAGTTATCAAGCAACTTATTTACTTTAGACTTTTAGCTTTTCAGGTCCAGCTCCAGTAACTAACTCAAAGTCAGATGCTGTGAACGTCATTGGCAGGGGTTTAATAGAATGTATATAGTTTGAAATTAATAATAATAATCCTTGCATTTGATTATAGCATCTCAAAGTGCTTCCACAGAATATAATGTTAAGTGAATTGACTGTATTTTTGGGGGGCAAAACTCAGCAGCCAATTGCACACAGCAGTGTCCCACAAACAGTCGTAGATTGAAGTGACCAATTTATTATTTTTTTGAAGGAATTATTACCCTCGGAAAAGCGATCCACCAATCGACCAACAACCAGCTTCCTACTTACTGATAGGTAAACAGAGGCGCGTGGAGTAAGGAAACTTATACAACGTTTCGTCCTGCCGAGGAATCAAACACAGTTCTTTAGCTTCGGAGACGAGTGCTCCAATGCGAATGTGTCAAAAGCTACACAGCTGCTCATTTTTTTTTCTAATTTCAATGGATAAATGATGCGTAACTTTCATTTAGAGTGAAATTAACATCTAACCATTGAATTGATGTCACGTCTGCTTGACTTGAAGGTTAAGCAGACACAAATCTAGCTTATACAGTGCGGGTTTACTGTGTTTGGCAGGAAAGAAAGTCAAGATCTGAAATGGTTTTTTAAAAAAAACTTGCCAGGTCTAAAATCTCAAATCTTTAACATGTTTATTCTTTCAATCAGTTGTTTTTTGACACTTTCCATGTAATAGTCTTGCCCGGATTGGGGTGTTATGATCCATTGTCACTGGTGGACCTTATTTGACAGTGGGAGTGAATTATTTTCAATGGGATGCACAATGCCTATTAGTATAAGATTTGAGTTAGTTGTGGTTCTTGTGGCAGTAGATATTGGCTTTACTGGGTTCTTAGTTCTTTTCAGTTGTGGAGGCCTGAACAGGAATCTAGCATTGCGTGGGATTGAGGATGCACAAATTCTAATTGCAGCACAACTATAATAATAATCCTTGCATTTATATATACATACATATATATATAACATTTATATATTATATAAGCTATACATACAGAGTTAGATTGTGATATTGCAATCACCTGCCATTTGATTAAAAGAACCAAACCTATTAACAGATTGCATTTTAAATATTAATAAACATGAAATGATCTCCGCCTGAGGGCGTTGTAGAAATATTGTCGGTAAGTTTCTATTTGGATATACGGTACAGTAGTATGTCTTCAATTTAGGCCAGTTCCCCCTTGTTTTTATCTTTCCTGGATGTGTGTTATACATCAGGGATGATCCCACCTGCCTTTGTACAAGTTGCAGCTGGAATCGAGCTGCAATTAGAGTGGGAATGTACAGCTGGAGCTCTCATGTATGCAGCTACGTCAACGGCAAACCTGGAAGAAATCCAGGACCAGCTACATTAAGTTTACTTTTTATTATAATATGTAATATTTAAAGTTATTAATAATAATAATCCTTGCATTTGATATAGCGCCTTATCACGTCGTTGTGATGTCTCAAAGCGCGTCACAGAATATACTGTAAAGCTAATTGACTGTATTTTATGGACAAAACGCAGCAGCCAATTGCGCATAGCAGCGTCCCACAAACAGTCATGGGTTGAGTGATCATATTATTATTATTATTTCATTTATTTATTTTTGGAAACTATTATTACCACCAGAAGTTGATACGCCATTTGTCTAACAACCAGGTCCCCACTTACTGCTAGGAAAACAGAGGTATGTTTGCATAAGAAAATTTGCCTAAGGTTTCGCCCCGCCCAGGAATTGAGCTTGGGTCCTTTTTGCTTTCAAGGTTAACTTGCTAACCACTACACTAAGGACTCCAAGTTCTAGATATTAGCAACAGAATTAGCTTGATGTACTTGTAAATCACACCTACGTATTTTTACTGTAAGTGCAGGTAGATAAAATACAAAGAAAAAAAAATGTCTATTCGGTGTTATTTCACTCTCGATTTATTTCTAAAGAGCTTGAAAATTGATAGTCCCAATACTTATGGAACAGGGAAAGATGGCCCTGGTCTGCACAAATGTATACATCAAGCACTCTTTTGATTTAAACTGTGAAGTAGCATTTATTTGGTATCACAGCAAACTCGTCTGCAGTGTTTCTCATCTTGCTCTCGTTTGTGTGAATTGCTATTCCATTATGGTTGCGTGTTTGAATGGTGCTCAGCAACTCGAAACAACTCTTGATTTCTCTGGGAAATTTCTTGCAAATTTCTCAAAATGTTATTCCCCCTCTCAGTCATTTGGAGTGTCAGTTTATACTGCGTGATTCCAAGTCCCAACATGGGGCTTGAACCCACAACCTTCTGACTCAGAGGCAAGAGAGCTACCTCTACGCCCAGCTAACACAGGTAACTATTTTCCTTAAGGAGGAGGTAGGCAGAGGGCCTCTCTGGCAACTAGCTGGTTTCATGGTGACCTGGTAATGGGAAGAAGGAACTGACTTTAATCTTGGTGATGGATTTGGAGATTCACTAGTTAAACCAGGTAGGTTCACAGTACTCTTTAAAAAGGCTGATGATTAACCAGCCTGCCTGGTTCATGAAAGGAACTTGGAACAATAGACAAATTCATCCCAGTCATCTCCTGATCACCCGCGAAGGTCAGTTTCTTAGACTGTAGGATGACCCTAACTGACAAGCAATGGAGCGTGGCAGGCACTAGTAATGGTTAGCTGCCTCATTTTTTGCTGGTTAAATTCCAGACAAATTGGAATCCCAAATGTTTTGACTCCTGCGGAGCAATGCTTGTGCTCTCCAGGGAGGATTGTGTACTCTAGAATTGTCAAACAAAAACCATGCTTCTATGAATTCTCAGTAGCTGGAACTGGAAACCACGTGGTCATAGGTTTCTAAGAGTGCCACGAGCCTGACTGACAAGACCTTTATTACCGACAGGTGCATTACTTTGTCTATTGTGATGAAAAAGCATTGTTTTATGAAGATGTTGCACCCTGTGTCTGATACCCATCCATCTAGAAATTTTACTTCTTGATTGGCTCCAACACAAAGAATATCTATTTGGCAATATCTAGTGTCTAGATGTTGTGACAGCGATAAAAGCCTTAGAAGATTATCGCTCACTTCCTCACACGTAGGACTGACTGAAGGGATATTGCACTGTGGTTGGTGTCAAAATAATACGATTTTCAACTTCGACAATGTGAACATTTCTCTCTCTCTCGCCCTGTCTGGTTTGCAACTGCTTGAGATGGAGTGCTGAACTCTCTTTATTCCAATTATTTTTTCACTTCGATTTTATTAAAGCAAAAATTCCCACCCTGCTAAAGTTCTGTTATGACGAATGGAGCAGCTGAAACATTGATAAGATGAGAACTAATTTGCTGGCTCCATATGTTTTAATCATATGGTAAGTACTGTATTTTGTAGATGACTGCTTTTTAAATTTGAGTAGCTTTTCTACCAACTCCTGCATTATTTAGCAGTGTAGAAAATTGGAAGAAATATTTATTTTGAAAATAAACAGGTTTGTATTTGCAATTTCAATCAATGAATGGTTAGTCTAAGTTGATAGCTAATAGCCTGCAGAATGAAAGACTGCCATGTTAGCCCTTCTACATCTCACTGAAGCATGTTTACACCAGCTCTTGACAGCCAGAAGTCAACCCTGGTCTTAAAGCAGGGTAAACAACGTAATTCAGAGGAAACAAACACTAGCCTTTCTCCGTGTGAAAAGTACTTTATTAAGTATAGATATGTATTTTATTGCAGCTGATCTGTTAATGATTGCAAATATTACAAAGCATGAGGTCCAATTAAAGTTTTTCAAAGGGGCTAATGTGAAATGTTGACCTATCTGGAATTTTTCCCTCCCATGTTGTGTTCTGCTTGATTTTCCTCTTTAAACTTTTTATATCTGCCTCATTTTCTTTCTCAGGTTCCGACTCCCATGCAGCATTTGCTGCGCACTGCAAGCTCAACAAAGAGAAACAACATGGGCTGCTGGACGAGAACAGTAATCTGGGTGGAAGATTTTCCAAGGCCTTTGGAACTAGGGTTAAAAATAACACAGCTGGACAATCCGCAGTCAGGTTAGGAATGTGATACGAAAGATATATTTAAAAAGAAACACTTTTTATCATGGCTTGTGGATGATGTTTTCTTAAATGCAGTAGGTAGCTTTGTGTTACTTAGCTAAACTTTGCTTGGTTATATAGTAATATTCCTTGCATTTGATATAGCGCCTTATCACATCGTCAAGACATCTCAAAGCACTTCACAGGTTATACTGTAAAGTGAATTGTCCGTATATTTTGTGGGCGAAACCCGGCAGCCAATTGCGCACAGCAGTTGTGGATTGAGTGACCAAATTATTACTTTTTAAAAAAAATTGGATTGTTCCTTGTTGCCAATAAAGAAGGCAACGGGGCTAGAATATTGTCACAACATATTGGTTGTGTTCGTATTCCCAGAAATCGTAATCAAGCGATAGAGTGCTCTAGTAAAACCACACAATAGAGTACTGCCTAGAGCTCTGCTTGCTGTGACATAAGGTGGGCGCCCAGGCCAATGAAGCAGTGCAGAGGAGAGCAACTAATGAATGAACGAAAGAAATATAACCTCAGTCTACTGAGCCGCTCATAATAGTTAAGACCCTTCAGCCCAGGAATTAATAGAGTAAACCGTTGCAGAGCCCCTTCAAGGCTGGTGCATTCTTCTTAAGATTGAGTGCCAAAACTACACACATTATTCCAAATGAGGTCCAAATGAAGTCCAAATGTGTGATGTATAGCCGGAAAAGTAACTCTTTACTTTTATATTCCAGAGCTTTCATGATCAATGCCAACAGGCCATTTGCCGTCATGATTCCTTGCTGTACTTGCGAATTAGACTGTAATGATCTTTGAACATGAACTCTAGCTCTCTCTGCTAAACTATCTGGCGACCTTCAAAAGTAGATTTGAGCACATTACAAAAACCACCATTTATGACAAGCCTGCTTTGTTGAGCTCTCTTTTGTTGAAGCTCAACTTGTATAGTGGTGGCATGCGAATTATACATCTGTTCTCCTTGCTTTCTTTCACCTGAGTGCCTGAATACGCTAGCTTTTATTCAGTTTTTTTGGGTTTGAGCTCCACATTGACTCTTGCCAAGGTCAGACTTCACAGCAGCCAGATTGCATGAAAGAAACAGTGACATAAATTGCATTGAAATGAATAGAAGTGAGAATTTTTTTTCAGACAGAATGTTCCTTCGTTTACTGAATTAGCGAGGCAATAAAGGTAAGTGACAATTGAGTGTTCTGCACCTTTGTAAATACAGAGCTTCATTCATACTTGCATCAGGCCAAGGCTAGTGATGAATCTATTCCAAAGCCACATACACAGGCTGTTTCAATAAGGCTGCCCTCAAAAAAACATTACCACCCAGTCTGTTATTCCTCGAAATGTACCTTCAGAAGCAATGTGTTCTTCTCAGATACCCTGTGGAAAAATTTATCATTCTGCACTGTTCTGGTCAGTGTTACTTGCAATACAACCATCGTCAAACCTGAAATTGCACCCGGTCTTAGCCTGGAAGACAATTTTGTCTTAAACATTTAAGATTGCGCAGAATTATGGCAAATTCTTAAATTCAGTCTTAATTTGAAAGCTATTTCTTTCAAAGCCAGTTTTGAGATTAAAATAGAATTTAAGAACATGTCTGCACCACCTTAAACTTTTAAGGCAAGTTGATCTTAGAGGCTGAGATAAGATGGAATATCAGGCCTGTCATCTTTTAATAAAAGAAACCTCTGGCTTGCAACACCGGGAGAGTAGATGGATTAAGAGGATAAAAAGATTTGGGATTTTACTTTGTGCTTGGCTTAAATATCTCTATAGTAATATGATGGAAATATTTTTTATTTGTGCTGGAATGCAATGCAAGCTGTATTCGAATGTGACTTCTGGTGCATTGTTGTGTTGAAATCATTATTTTCCTGCAGAACATGTGCGGCAATCATCACCGTCTCTACAGTTTTATTAGCAAATGCAGCGAAAGGTCGTAACAGCACTTGTCAAGTCCATTTAACATTGGGAGAAAAGGCCTAGATTTTTTAAGACCACTGTGTTCTTTCACTCTCCCAGTTAATTGAGCTGGAATTTTTCTCTCCCGTGTTGTGGTTTACTTCATTTTCCTCTTTAATTGTTTTATATCTGTTTCATTTTCCCGCTTGGGTTCTGACTCCCATGTAACACTTGCTTCACATTCATCTTATTCTCAATTGAAAGTTGTAATAATTTTTTTTAACCGGCTTTTGTTTTACATTATTTGTTCTTCAGCTGATGGCAATTAACAATTCAAAGAGGAAAGCTTCTGGACTATCCATTCTGGAGGTTTAGATTTACATTCATTATTTGAACCAGTCCGGATAAGACAGACACATTTTGAATATAGGGCTGTCTGTTTCAAAAGATAGATTTCGTTCAATTCTCGTGATTAAAAACTTTACATCAGCAATGAATTATATTGAGTTTCATATCAGGTTGCGATGTCAGTGGGCTGATAACAGTGACCTCTGCATTAAACTGAAAAGTACAAGTACACTTTGTACCCAAAGGTTGATTTGGAGTCTGATTGTAATTTTCTTTTCTATCGACTCTCTTTGAAAGACAAATTGTTCTTTTACTTGTTTAAATCAAATGCAATTTGCAATACGATTTACGGTTATATAACACCAAATCACATCACTGAATGTCTGTCTCATAGAACTTCACAGAATTTACTAAAATGTACTGTATGCTGTAGGCAAATGCAGCAGCCAATTTGCTCACAGCAATTTCACACAAACGGCCAGAAAGTGAATAATCAATTTTATCTGGAGGACTGTTGGCTAGGTTAGCCCTTCTCTTTTCGAATAATACCATGGGAACTTTAATGTCCACCTGAACAAGTAAAGGGGATCTCAGTTTCCTTTTTTTCATCTGAAAGACAGCACCTCGGTGAGTCAGTGTCTAGAGGACATCAATTTAGGATAGCGAGCAAATGCGGGGATTATATATTTTTTCGTGCACAGAGGAATTATGATATGGAATGTCCTGCTGGGACAGAATCCATTTTAGCTTTCAAAAGGAAACTAGATGCAATACAAATTTACAGTTATAAATAAAGCCTTTCAGGTCGGGAGGATGTCCCATGGCTTTTGACAGTCCTGGCTTGGATAGATAGCTTTTTTTAAAAAAAGAGTAAACTACAGGGGTAATGTTAGGGCTTCTGATTTTTTATTTTAACCAAACATAGACCTGATAAAACACTCCCAACACAAAATAACTAAATCAATGTTTATTCAATAAACCGGAAAACACCGGAAATACTTGACGCTGATGTAACTCTGAGGTGAGGTTCCCTCTCTCTCTCTCTCGCTCGCTCTCGGTGGTTTCCTGGTGTACCAACTGTGTATGCATTGCTCTCCACCTCCCTCTCCTGGGTACGTGCCTGTGCACACGAAGGGGAGACAGGCTCCCTCACTCATCAGCAAAGCCTCCTTTTTCTTCAGTGTGTGCGCAGGTTCATCTTCGCCCCGGGACGTTACCCCTCGTGAAAAGCGCTATATAAATGCAAGTTGGTTGTCCTCTCAGTACACTAACGAAAGCTTCGAAAAGCCCTGGTTTCTGAACGCTCTAAAATCGCTGAAACTAAACACCGAAAAATCTAATGGAAAAAAAACCCCGAATATCAGAAGCCCCAGGAATGGGGAAATGACAGGTAAATGGAACTGAAAGGATTGCTCTTAAAAGAGCCAGCAAAGACACAATGAGCACGTGGCTGTCTACTGTGTTTTTAATTTCTACGGTTCTAAACAACGCAGCATTGTATTGGAGCGTCAGCCTAGATTGTAAGTTCAAAGTCCCAACGTGAGGCTTGAATCAACAAGCTGAGAGGCAAGAGTGCTACCAACTGAACCTTTATTAAATTCTGATATTGCCATATTCTGGTATTTGCCATTGACTTGTGCCTAACTTTTTCGCTCAGTGACTTTGGATTTCAAAGCCAATGTTAACAAGCTGAAAAGAGCCTCGTCATCATTCTTAACACATCTACTTGTGTGAAGGCGAGTGGAAAATGGTAATGAACATGTTAGAAATTCTGAAATACAATTCTGATGGTTGTTTAATCTTCGGATATCCCTCATTAACTTGATTGGTGACCCTAAAATCATTTCCCCAAGGAGAGTGCATTGCTCTGAATGCGCTATTGATGCTACTCTGGTAAAAATGCTGCATAATTATGACTAAAAGCGTATGAAAAGCTCAACTATTGAATCCTTTGCTTTAACAGTAGTCTGAAGTGGCATCCAGGAAAATTACTGATGTGTTGTGGCACTTAACTGTCCTGTCAATCAGGACTATGATTAAAGAAGCTGTCTGCTTCAATACAGGAGCTGCTAATGGGAAATGTAATGACGTTGAACATGTTTATGTTGCTGTTCAGTCAGCCCAACAGTTGCACAATTATATTAGGTCTTTTGCATCACAGTGTGGACAAGGCACCTGTTCAGACATCATCGATCTGATCACTTTATTGTTCTGCAACTATCTTTAATAATATACAACAATAATCCTTGCATTTGATATAGTACCTTATCATGTCTTTGAGATTTCTCAAAGCGCTTCACAGAATATACTGTGAAGTGAAATGACTGTATATTTTGTTGGCGAAAAAGAGGAATCTATGCTCTTCCTTACAGCTCCAGGGTATTGCCAGTAAGTCCTCTTGAAAGATGTCCAAAGCAATTTGGGAAAATACTGTGTATACCAGTCAGGCTAATGCGCAACTTCATTCAGCCAGTGATCCAATGAAATTATCTCTCATTAAAACCGATCATCCCGATCGTACATCTAGTACTGCTTCATTTATAAATTGGGGCTGATGTTAATAATGGCTTTTTACTGTATTTAAAACTAACAAAGCAATTTGTTTTAACTTTTATGTTTGATTTGTTCGGTAAAACTGACGATATCTGTCATTTTTCTCTGCAGTTTGATTTCCCTCAAAGTTGATTTGGGTTCCAGTATTTTCAGTCTATTAATTTTTTTAGCACATCTGACTC